AGGAGGCAGCCAATTGATGTTCTGCTCTCACATCAATGTTTCTCTCTCTCCCTCTCCCTTCCTCTCTCTCTAAAAATCAATAAAAATACATATTTTAAAAAGATGTGCATCAATTCATTAACTGTACACAGGAGAACACAACAGTGAAAAAGAACAAGATCAGTGTCTATATGGGAATGTGGGAAGAACTTCCAAACATTATTTCATGAGGGGAAAAGGCCAGTTGCAGAAAAACAATCATACAACATCCTTAAGCCCATACAAATATACCTCCCAGTCAGCATATTTTCTCCAGTTTACACTCACGTGATACAATCTCATTGGGGATCTATTCCCAACCTAATGCTAACAGTGGGAGCCTCCCCAAGATGGGAGAGACAGCAAGGATGGGGAATGAGCAAAGGGATTTCGTCTTGCCTACCACATTGTTATTACTTCCAAGAAGAGTGTGCTGTGCCGGGACCGGTTTGGCTCAGTGGATAGAGCGTCGGCTTGGGGACTGAGGGGTCCCGGGTTCGATTCCGGTCAAGGGCATGTGCCTTGGTTGCGGGCATGTCCCCGGTAGGGGGTGTGCAAGAGGCAGCTGATTGATGACTCTCTCTCATAGATGTTTCTAACTCTCTATCTCTCTCCCTTCCTCTCTGTACAAAATCAATAAAATATATTTAAAAAAAGAAAAGAATGTATTTGCATACATCTGTATCATTAAACAATAATGGAAAATATTGGGGAGCACTTTTTGAATTATGTTAGACTCCAAGGAAAAGTTCAAAAATGATTTGAAATATTTTAAAAATGGAAAAAGATAAAGAGGTTAAAGGAAGAAGCGAATGGGGTTGGCACATAGGAAGTTTCTGGGGTGTTTGCAAAACTATTCATTGACTTAGTGGTGGTTACACAGGGGTTCAATTCAGAATAATTTGCTAAATTGTACATTTATGTTTTTTGTACTTTTCTACATGCATGTTATTTTTCAAGAGTCCAAAAGATTATTTTTAAAGAAGTGAATGAGTTGGCTGGGTGTCCAACCATAAATCAAACTGGGGGGCTGAGAGTTGGGAGGGCTGAAATGGGTAACCAAAGACCCAGAGTGTCAGGGGAAGTGGGGAAACAATGTTGGTCCCAGGCCTACCTCCCCCCATATCACTGCCCCACTCACCACTGGCCTGCAGGGTTGAAGTCTGAGGGGTGGACTGGAGTTCTAGGTGAACTGCGTCTGAAGTCCAGAAACAGGGAGAGAAGAGAGAAGAGGTGAGAAGGTCCATGAATGGAGGTACAGGAGTATTTCCATAGCAACTCAATTTTGATGTCATGGAAATGACTTAATTAATCCAGCCATTTCCTTGTTGCCTAAATGCAATGGCAGTATCTTCCCTGTCTCAGGCCCTGCCCTCCCGCCGATTCCCATTCCCCTTCACAGCATCCAACCACCTCTGGTAAGAGTCCTGGGACTTCCTTTGGAGAACCATCCTTCCCCAGCTCTCAGCCTATTTAATTCAGGGGGTGGGGGGTGGGGAGGCTGGCACCAGCCCGGTTGGAGGTTGAATATGAGGCCCAGGTCTGGCTAATCAGCTTTCTGTGTCTGTGGCCACAATGATCAGCTCACGTGTGGGCATGTGACATGGGCTTGATCAATGACACTCAGTTCTGGGACATTTGCTAGATTGAGGAAGGGAAAATTCTCTTCCCTCTGGATTCTTAGCAGGTAGGATGGAAGTCCCAGGTATCTAAATGCCATTTTGGCACTATAATAGATGATCTGCCTGAGAATGAAGCCAACACAGAGAAAAAACTAAGAGATGAAGACAGGCTCCTGATAGCATCATTTGAGAACCTAGATCAAGCCATACCTGAAGGTCTATCCTGGATTTTCCAGTTACACAAATTCAAAAATACCTGTTTGGTCCAGCTTGAGAATTGTATTGCCATTGTTACTTACAATGACAGGATCTTGCCAGATCTGTTCCTCTTTCCTCACCTGGGGTTTGAGTCAGGGCATGAATGTTCACAGTGGTTGAGTCTGCTAGAGGAATGGATGTGGCCTCCTCCCATTCCAGTCCTGAGAAATCAAGGATGAGAAGCCAGGCTCTGGTCCTCCTCTCACTAACACCCCCACTTGCCCTCCCTTCTGAAGCCTTTGGGGGTGTGATTCAGGAGGTCCTTCAGTAGACAGCTCTTTGATTGATCAGCTTTGGTGGTATCAATACATGATCTTAGAAGTGTTTTAAGAAATGCTAATGCCCAACACCCTTCCCCCATCTTTGTGGGATGGGAGATTTGGGTGAGCCCAGGCACTCGAGTCAGCCAGGGCCTCATCTCAAATTCTGCTCCCAACCACTCCCTTGCTGTGTCACCCACTCTGAGCCTCAACTGCAAGGTGGGGATGACTGAGTCTACATCTCAGGCCTTAGAGTAGGGGTGTCGAACTCAATCAGAGAAGGGGCCAAAATCTAAAATCCAGCCTAAATTGCGGGCCGAATGGTTTACTGAAAAGTCATAAACTGTCATTGTGATGGAAACGCAGCGGAGTGCAGTGATGACAGCGTGGTGCGGGCCACATTGCAAGGCCTGGCGGGACGGATTTGGCCCGCGGGCCTTGTGTTTGACACATGTGCCTTAGAGAGTGTGAAATGAGATGGGGGTAGAGTCTCCCCCACTGCTTAGCATGCTGTCAGTGCCTCGCCCTGGCCCTACTGTCACTACACTAACCTCTCCTTGTCCCACTCTGCCCCTGTCCACCCAACCCAGCCACCTGGCCTACCTGCTGTTCCTCAGACTCTCTCATTCCCCCAGGTACCTGCTTGGCTCACTCCCTCAACTCCGGCAAGTGTCTGCCCAAAAGTCACCTCCTCGTAAGGTCTTCCCTGAACACCTTATTCAAACAACCCTCATTCCTGCGCACTATTTTTCTCCCTAACAGGAATCACCTTCCAGCATTCTGTGTAATTTACCAATGGGTTTCTGTCTTTCCCAAATAGAATGTGAGCCCCTGTTTTGTACCCTGCTGTTTCCACAGTGCATGCAATAAGATCTGGCACATAGTAGCTGCTCAACGAATACTTGTTGCATGACTGAAGAAAGGCACAGGAACCATTGTGTCCAAGAGAGCTGCGGCAGTCAGTGAGTGTGTTCTGGTTCTGGGACAGCAGTGTGACTGGGCCCAGCGCCTCCACTCACAAGCCTCTAGCCCAGGCACTTCCCTTTGCTGCGTCTATTTCTTCACTGTGAAACGGTCAGGGCAACATGCATAAGATAATACGGTAACGCTGAAGGCCTGCTCCCACACACTGCCATGCAGAACGCACCTGCCAATGCCACCATAGCTGCTGGAGACATCTCCAGCTCCTGGACTGGCCCTGGCTCACCCCCTTTGCCTAACTGTGTATCACCGGGCATCCAGCGAGCTGCTGTGCTGGGAGCCCAGGGCTCCTGGCTGCTGAGTAGAAAACTGACACCCACCTCCTCGCCAAATCAAACTCAGTTCTTCTGGGAGGTGAAATGGAGGCTGCTCAGCAGGACAGGCTCTGGCCAGACTTGGAGGCGGCCACCCAGGTCTGAGGTGTCCAAAAGGAATGCAATCTTGGCCCCTACACAGGGACCCCCACTCCTGGTGCCAGCTCGGTAGGGAGTGAGGACCCAGGACAAGGCATCCAAACCCGCTAGCTGCCCACCCAGCAGGGCCCTCGGAGTAGGCTGGGGCTCCGGAGCAGGATGGAGACAAGGGCTAGGCCTTACCTCTGGCCGGGAGAACCAGGCCCACAATGGTGAGGAAGTACAGGCGACCGGAGGGCGACATCTGTGGGGTGCGCAGGAGCTGGGGTCAGCCATGATGGCCGTGAGGCAGGCCCAGGGAGGCCCCAGGGATCCCTACAGCCCCTTCCCCACCCTGAGCAGGTACTTCTGGTTTCAAGGACCCCCTACCAGGGCTAACAGGAAAACCTCAGAAGTGGGGCCCCCAGCAGCCACCCCCTTCTTCCTTCCGCAGGTCCCCAAAGAAAACAAGACACATCAGACAAAATTGGGCTTCAGGTAGCAGCCACTGTACACAGACACCACTGAGGCAGAGAAGCACCGGCCCCCAGGGACTGACCCTGCTGGGCACCCAGAGGGGCCTGGGCACAGGGGTAGATCCTGGGGCCCCTTCCCTCCATCTGGGGCTGTCTCCCAGCCCAGGAGTCAGTCAGGAAGGGAAAGAGGAAGAGTGAGTAATGTGCTCCTGACCTCAGAGGAAAAAGTGAGTGGTGTCAGGACCTCCCTGCAGGGACGACAGAACAAGATGCTGGGCAGATCTGGGAGGGATGGTCAGAGAGGGAGAGGAAAGCTGAGGCAGAAGGAAGAGGGGCGGGGCAGCCCAGGACCCCTGTAAGGCAGAGCAGGCCGGGGAGCTAAGCGTGGATGGGGGCGGAGAGGATCCGCTAAGACCAGTCTTTACTCACCTGGGCCCGGGCACTGGGCAGAGGGGAGAGGGTGGCGGAGGGTCGGAGGAGAGACTTGCGTCTGAGCGGGATCGGAGCCGGCAGCCTCGTGGAGAGAGGGCAGCGGCGCTGCTGCAGGCGGAGGGTGTGGCCAGGAGAGAGCCTGCGGGCGGCGGGCGGGGACCCAGACGGGCTCAGTCATTTCCTCTTGGGTTTCCTGGCTTCAGAGCCTGGGGTGGGAGCTGGAGGGGGAGACGCTACGGGTGACGGGGAGAGGGAGAGGGGCGAGAAGCCAGACTGGGACTGCCACCCACCAGGCCTGGGCCTAGGAGGTCTGGTTGGCTGGGGCTCCTTTGGGGACGGGGCGGGCGAGAAGGGAGGCACCTATTAGTGTCTCTAGAGGAGGAGGCGGACAGGGCACAGCCCAGGGGGGGTTGAGGGAGGGGAAGGGAATCCTAGCTAGAGGAGGAGGCCGCTGGGGAAGAGGAAGAAGGAGGGACCGCTTGGGGACTTGGCGAGGACTCCCCCGGTTCAGCTTTGCTCCTCCCCCATTTGGTCCCCACAGATGAGAGCACACAGACAGAACAGGGGGAAACCAAATGCACATTTATTCAGCTCAGGACACAGACACCCAGGGCGCAGGAGGACGGATCTCTGGGGAGGAGACGAGGAGGTGCGGGAGGGGGGGGGGCGGTACCGGGAGCTCTGCGGGGCAGGGGGCGGGCTCTCGGGCTCCAGGGCCTGGAGGCCCGAGCCCTCGTAGGTGGGATGCAGATGAGCTCTGTGGGGTTCGTCATTGCCAAGGCCTGGGGAGGGGCAGCGGGGTGCAGCGGCTCCAGCCTCGGGGTGGGTGGGGCGGCTCATTCCGGGGAGCGCTCCCAGCAGCGCACAGCTGGGGTCCCCACCACCTCCACCCGGTCCGCAGGCTCCCACATCAGGCAGGGACAGCAGCGGAGGGGAGGCTGGCTTTACACACCGCCACCTCCTGGGGCTGGAGGGAGGGAGACACAGTTTAGGTCAGTGGCCAGAGCACCCCCTCCCCAGAGCCAGTGAGCGCATCCCCACCGTGGAATGCAGACCCCCAAGAACTGACACGTCTGAGACGGCGCTCCCGGATGTGTGGTCCATGCAGGGCGCCCGTGTGTCTCTGTCCTGCCCTATAGGACAGTCACCAAGGGGATACACCTGTGCCTGTAAGGGGACTCCCTGGCCCCGCTTGGGCTTCTCTGGGGCTCCCCCCTGTCAGAAAGGGAGCCTCCACCTCCCACTTATGCTCCCTCCCTCGCCGTTCCCCACACCTGGCCTCGGAACATTGAGGCACAACAGGACTCTCCTGTTCCCACCCCCATGGGCCCGTCACTCACCCGGAGCGGGTCAGAGCCCTGCACAGACCCTCGGAACGGCCCAGGCATCAGGGCCTCCCCGCCCCCCAGGGTGTCCCCTTCATGCTTTTAAGTCTCATTAAAGAAAGTCCCATGAAACACTTGAAATCTGCCACCAAATCCCCCCCAAATATTGAGTACCCCACAGCCCACTTTTTAGTTACAAGAACTTTATAAGAGGTAGAGAGATTCCCATCTGATTCTTCTAAATATCCCTGGAGAGGACGCAGGTCCAATAAAAACAGGTCAAGATATTTTTACATAATTAAAATTAACACTCCCAAGGAGGCAGTCTGTCTCTACATGCTCACCCCCTCCATGGCCTACATCTCTCTCCAGTTCCCTTTACACCTTCCACCCACCTCACCCACTCTCCCCCTGCAGTACCCTTCCTACTCCCCTCTGCACCCATCCCTCCATCCCCCTCCCTCTCCCCTCTCCTGTACCCCCACGCCCTCAGTCCCCTCTGCTCTTTATCCCTTTCCATTGTTTCGCCTTGTACTACTTACATCAGTTTTTAAAAATCTGCATTCCATACCTCTCTCCTTTTGTCATTTTGATACTATTATTCAAAACCCCTTCCTTCCTTCACCCCTTCCTACCCTCAGTTCTTTCTCTTCTCTCCTTCGTTTCATTCTAGACTTCCAAATTGAACAATTAAGTCTGGAAAACATCTGTCTTTCTGCTTCTCTAGTACTCAGCTTTGTCTTCATTTCGACTGCGGAAGTCCTTTTCCTCTGTGGGGACCCTCTCCTCCCAGGCTTCTGGCTTTCTGCTCTGGGAAATCAGTTCATCCTTGCTTTCATAAGCTTGTACACTTGCGTCTGGGAGGCATAGTGAACTCTAGGACATTTGACATCCCGCTGACTAGCCGCAGTTAAACGTTTTGATCTGCAGGATCTCAGCTCCTACTGAATCTCTCATGTCCATCTATTGCGTTGGTGGCCCCATTCTTAGGGACACACAGTACACGTCCCCTTTTAATGACTCCCTTTTCTGCTCCCACACGTCCTCCTCCCAGACCACGCACTTTCTCACCCTCACCTGAGGAGGGAAGCTCCGACTTACAGGACTTGCATGTTGGGCTGTGGAAGCAAAGATGAGAAAGAAAAGCATAAGGACTTGAGATTTATGATCACTTAGTAAGTTATGTAACGTCTAATTTTTTTTTTTAAAAAAAGAGGCTCAATGGCCACAGGTTTATGTGGAATATAGGCTAGCCCTGGGCCTTTCTGTTCCCACCCGTCTCCCCTCTCTCCCCTCTGCTGCCAGACCTCTCAGACCTGGAGTCCGCCTTCCTGCACTTCACTTTCTTGCCTGTTAGGAGAGAGACAGACAGAAGAAGACAGGACATGAGGGTCTGGTTGAGAGCCAGCAGGGGAATGCTGTGCCTGGGCCTGACCGGAGGTGGCCCTCTTTGGGTTTTAGATTCCAGGAGAGAGGACACACTTACTGATGATGATGAGGATGCCCAGCAGGAACAATATGGTGGCCAGAGTCATGCCCACAGTCTGCACTGTGTCGTAGTCTGGGGAAGACAATGGGGGACATCAAGGTGAGGTAGCACCTCAGCACCCCCTCCCCCCCAGCCAGTCTTCATATTGCCCAGCCAGCGTCCCAAAATTCAGGGATGCTGCAGGCTATGCTGGAGGCTCCCCAGTGGGAGTGTGAAGATGACATAGCTCCCCTTGTCCTCTCTCTCCCTGACCCCTTCCTCTGGACCTCCTCCTACTGCCTGCTCCCTGGTCCTGTCCACCATTGTCACCTTCTGCACTACTGCAGCAAGCAACCTTCTCTACAGTCTCCCTCCCCCAGCCAGAGGGTAGCACCTGAGCCAGATCAGGGTCCTCCTCCCATTTTTATTGCGCTCCAAATAAAAGCCAGTCCTCATCACAGTCCACAGGGCCCTGTGAGATCTGCTCTCTGTTCCTTCTCAGACTTCACCCCACTCCACTTCCCCTCAACCCCTACCCCTAGGCACACCAGTCTCCCTGCTATTCCTGGAGCATGTCAGGCATGGTCCTACCTCAGGGTCCTGCACTTGCTCTTCCCCTACCTGAAAGATCTTCCCCCAAATACCCCTCTCCTACCAACTTCTGGGCTTTATTCAAATGTCAGTAAGACCTTCTCTTGCTGTCCTATTTAGAACTTCTCATCATCTTCTCAACACTGTAATCTAATTCTCTCCTTTAGCTGGGACCGGTTTGGCTCAATGGATAGAGCGTCAGCTTGGGGACTGAGGGGTCCCGGGTTCGATTCCGGTCAAGGGCATGTACCTTGGTTGTGGGCATATCCCCAGTAGGGGGTGTGCAAGAGGCAGCTGATTGATGACTCTCTCTCATCGATGTTTCTAACTCTCTATCTCTCTCCCTTCCTCTCTGTACAAAATCAATAAAATATATTTTTTTAAAAATAATAATTCTCTCCTTTATTTTCCTACATAAGAATTATTCTTATCTAATTATACTGCAGTAGATATTTTTTGAAATATTAATTTTTAGGACACCCACACTGTATCAGCAGTGGTCCAGGCTTCTGCCCCCAGGAAGTTGACTTTATTATTGTGCTAAAGCACTAAACAAAACAAAACCAAAAATTGAGTCATGTGACCACATGTAGCTGTGGTGTGGTTCCTCTTGCCTGGGATTCAGGAGGGCCTCTCCTAGCAGAGCAGTCAGTATTGGCTGAGGCCTGAGGTAGGAAAAGGAGCCTCGCCAGCTGTGTGAAGAGCTAGAGGAGGACTACTTCTGTCAGAGGAAGAGCAAGTGAACAGACCCTGAAGTGGGCAAGCACGTGGCTAGAAGCAAGAACAGTGTGAGCAAGCAAAGGCAGAAGCAGGAGGGCTGTTTGGAAAGAGAACAGGGACCAGGTCTCCTGGACCTGCAGGTAGCTTCTTTGAGCTTCCATGTTGTGGGAATGATTTGATGGCATCATCCAAGTAAATCTTTCCCACAGTTCTCTTAGATGGGAACTATTATTTTCCCTTATTTACAGAAAGATTCAGAAAGGCAACACGGCTAGTCAGTGGATAAGCCAAGATTCAAATCCAGGCAAATCCCAGACTTGTTTGCTACTCTGGTGACCCCAATGCACCAGCCCAGAGTCCTGGTGAAGCCTGAAAAAGCCCAGAGAAGATACCCCAATTTGATTTTGCCCTCCATGAGCCCAGCCATTGTGAGCTGCACCCACATGGTCCCATGGTTAATAGCCCAGCACATTATCAGCCACAACTGAAGTCACTTCAGCAGTGACCCATGGGCATCAGCAGCCACCTTCATCCATCCCCAGGTGCTCTTATCATAGAATCTGCCACTCACCATAGTGAAATGGGTCAGGTTCCTGAGGAACTGTAGGAAGGAAGGCAGAGAAAGAGAGAGAGGGAAAAAAATATTTCAACACTAGGTTTCTTAACATATGTGAGGATCCAGAGGGGGCCACTGGCCTAATGGTTTCTGTGTAGAAATCAGATAAAGAGAGACCCCTTGTGCTGGGTGATAGAGCTTCAAGGTTTGAAGAGTAAGCACAGGATGGATTCCAGCTCCCACTTAATCCATTGGTTGATAACCTTCCCTTGCATAGTCCTGGCCCTAGGCCCTTGTGGAGGTCTTTTGCAAATGATGGATTCATTTCCTGAAATATAGATAATCTCTCGTGTATACGGGGCTGGGGGTGAAGAGACTCCAATCTCACCGCTGGACTGCTGAGTGTGTCACCTTCCCCTGAGCACTCCCTGAGACCTCTCAGTCACCGAGCTCCAAAAGGCAGCCACTGTAGCTACTGCTCTCATCCACTTGCTTCTGCCACCAAGTCCAGCACAGGGAGCTGTCCTATAATACACTCTATATTCTGCTATATATAATGTGTTTATGTTACTTATTTCTAAGGCATTACCGATTTTAATATTCATAATTGATTTTGTAGCAGCTTTTCCGGGGGTGGGGATTATGCATGAATATGAATGTAACTGTACAACATGAAACATACCCATCTTTTAGAAAACTCACCCTGATTTCATAAATGTTAATGTATGGGTAAAATATCTATGTGTGTGGGTTTTCTTTTCTCCTTGTCCCAAACTATATTCTGCTTCAGGAGAGCTCAGAACATCCTTTCCATTCAGGAACCCCTCTGATGGCTCTTGAATTTCTCCAACAGCTCTCTGTACAGTCTGCTGTGTCTAGGGCAGAATTCTAGGGCACCGCTGGGGGAGGGGTGCCAGCAATGCCAGGTGTTGTCGTTAGGGTTCCTCCCCTCCCAGGCTCAGGGAGAGATGGCTGCCTTGATGTGGGGGGGAGGAGTCATGTGACTAATCCTGGTCAATGAACTGTGAGCGGAGATGTCATCCTCACTTCCAGGCTGGAGCACTTAAGAGCCCAGATAAGATCTCCCTGTTGACTTTGACCTGGTGACATGAATGTTCAGGATGGTAACCGCTCGGTTCATTGGTGAATGAGGTCCCCAGCTGACCTGTGATTGATGAGTAGTATAAGTGAGAAACAAACCTTGGTTGTCAGAAGCCACTGAGACTTTTGGTACCATTTGTTACCCTGAATGCTCTAGCCTAAACTGACTAATACAGGTGGCACTCAGGCAAGACCCTGAAGAGCACTGATTCACACCATGTGCAAGTTCACCCTTCTCCATTCTCTGTCCAGTCTTCCAAGAGGGAAGGGGGTCTTGGGTAGAGCAATGGGATTATCCTGCTTTTTGTTGCCTATGTTTCTATACACCATCCCTACCCAAACCAGCAGGAACCCGCTGGGTGAGTGCCCATCCTAGAATCCTCTCTGGTTCTTCCCTGGCTGCTCCGTGCTCCAAGTTCTTCTGGTTCCTGCTACCCCAGCAGTCTGGGTCCTCAGGGCTAGGCTGGGCTAAAGGTGGAGCCAGGAGGCAGGAAAAGGGATGTGCACCACTCCTGGCCAGTTGCCAGAGACAAGAGGAAGGAGGTGGTTGCTATGGTAACTGGGGCATCTGATGAAGAGAGGTAGTGGGCTCAGGCACCTCAGGCGGGTGGGGTTCCATGGGGGCTTAGGGGTTGGGTTTCTAACTCTGGAGCCAATCTTGACTCCCTCTGCTCCCTTTGTACCTCCCTTTGTTGCCCCTCCCCAAGGCTGGCTTCTGGCCAAGTTGAGGGTCCTTCTCAGGAATAAAGGACCCAGGCCCAGTGAGTCTCCTGCATCCCCTGATTGTCCCCCAACTCTCCCTCCTGCTCTGTGACAGGCTGGGGAGAACTTCGCCTTTCTCTCCCTTCCCTTCCCCTCCCAACAATCCAGTATTTAGTTTCCCTAAGCAGTTTGCAAGACACAACATTACTTTTCCTCCTGAGGTTCCCCCAAACCTGTAGCCCCCTCTGATGGTGTGACTGGGGAAAGTGGAGAGGGGTTGGCTGAGGCGTCTGTCCTCCCACCTTGGCCCGTCCACTGGCATCGATCCTGCTAACCACCTCCATGAAGAGAAGCCCTGGGCTCCCGCCAGGCCTGCCGGCTCAGCCCAGCCCCCTCTCCCCAGGGTGGTTTCCAGCCTCTGCAGGCCCCCCCCTCCACCCCCGCCCTGCTTCCAATTCTGCAGATACAGCTCGGTGCAGCAGCCCCTGCCTGCCGGGAAAGGGGGCAGGGAGGGAAAGACTGGAGCGCAGTGGGGTTTCCTCAGCACCGCTAGCCTTATCCCCTGGCCCCGCTCTCGGCGCTGGGAACCCTTCCTCTGCCCCCAACCCTCAATTAAACCGTTCTTCCCTTGCTCCTCTGGAGAAACGGGCTCAGGAAAGGAAAGGAGGCGCTTAGGAGAGTGTTTAAGCGGGTGCATATAACTGGGTTAATGGGTGTGAAATGCACATCGCTGTGGTTGGATGGAGATGAGGAGGAGCAACTATGTGCACCCAAGTGCACCCCCTAGTCCAGACCAGATCCCTGAACGAGGGCTGGAAAGGAGGGACCTGTCACCCATTCCAGCCCTGGGGGCTGCTGCAGCAGATCAGGCCCCACCCTGTGCTGCCCTTCCTCCTCATTCCGCTCTAGCCTTTGGATCTCTCTCTCACCTCCTGTGTCTTTCTCTATGCGTCCCTCTCTACAGTTGCCTCATCTCCTCTCTCTCTCCCCGTCTCTGCTCTCTCTTTCTCTGCATTTCTCTGTTTCTCTCTACCTCTCCCCTTCACTCTCCTGGAATCGCTCTGAGTCTCCTATCTGTCTTTCCGGGTCTCTGACTCTGGGTCTCCTGTCTCCCTGGATCCTTTTCTATCTCTTTCAGGCTCAGTCTCTATAATCCTTTCTATCTCGCTCCATCTCTCACTTCCTCCATCCCCCATCTGCTCCTTTTCCTCCCTTTCCTCCTGAGCCTGCCTGGCAGGCTTTCCCACCACAGAAGCTAGCGCTGGGGAAAAGGGGGATACGACCCCTCCCCCCTACCCATTTCCGGGACCCTGAAAAGGGCGAGAACCTCTGTGGCTGCTGACCCATCAGCTCCCACCCTCAAAGCCCATCTCTTCGCAGTCCACTACCATGCTGTACTGTGCAGGATCAGCCACCCGGTTGCCATAGCTACCGGTCAGAGCATCCTTTCTCTCCCGACTCCGCTCTCCCACCAGGGGTCTCGCACAGGAGGGACGCCGCCGGGGGACGGTGCCCGAGAGGCCCAGGGGGCGCCAAGGGGTGCAGTGCAGGGGCCTCCGCCCAGGGGAGGGACGGACACCCCTTCCCCTCTCCCCTCCCTTTCCAGTGCTGGTATCTCCTCAGATCCTCTCTCCGAAGCCCTAAGACCTCGGAGCCCCCCCTGCACCCTTTCCCCAGGCGACGCTCACCCTTGGTAGGGGCCTGGGTTGGGGTCGCCATGCCGGGCTGGAGCAGGGGGAGGCTGGATGCCGAAACGGTGAAGGCACGGCTGCGGCAGCTGGAAGACCGATGGACTGCTGTCTGGGGGAGATGGGGGTGCCTTGCTGTGGGGGGGCCGCAGCCAATGGGGGCCCGGAGAGCCCGCCTCCGTCCAGGCCGCCCCCGCCCCCGCCCCCGCCCACCTCCGAGGTCCCCGCCCCTTCCCCGAGGGCGGGGGCGCCCCCTGCCGGGCCCGGGGGTGCCTGCCGAGGCTGCCGCGGGAGGAACTGACATCGACAGACGCAGTCGGGAGAGAAAAACACGTTTTATTGTCAGTGGGGGCGGCGGGGCCGAGGGGGGTCCGGCTGGGAAGTGGAGCGGTCCGGGCGGCGGCAGGCGGGGGCGGGGGCAGGGGTGGCGGGGGCCAGGTGCATCCTGTGGGGTGAAAGGGGCGGCGGGCTCTCCTGAGAGCCAGCCGCCCCGGCCCTTCGCCCCCTCCGCCCCGCCCGGCAGGCTTGGACGGCGCGGCAGGACCTGGCTGCGTCCCGGGGTGCCAGTGCTTCTACCGCCTGCGGCTGGACAGACCTGAGGGACACGGAGTTCGGTGTCAGGGCACCCCGGCTCCGGGGAGTGGGAGCGGCAGAGCAGTCCCCCGCCCTCCGGCTTGAGACCAGTCCCCACCCTCCACCCGCCCCGAGAGGGCCGCCCGCATCCCCAACACCCGGAGGCTCCCGACTCACGGCGGATGGAGCTGCGGAAAGTTCCCTCCTCTTCGTCAGGCTCCCCAGTCCTGGGAATGGAGGGCGGAGGAATTGGGAAAGGAAAGAGGGTGGCGGCCACGCCGAGGCAGCCTCCTTCACGGACCCGGGCGCCCCGCGGCCGAGGTTCCGCCAGAATTCAGGGGCGCCAGGAGCGTTCCTCCGGGCGCCGTGAGCACCTCCCGGGAAGGCCTGGGAGTCGGGCGGGGGGAGGGGGGAGGGGGGAGAGGATGGGGCCAGAGGGGCAGCGGGCCTCGAGGTGGCCTCTTCTGGGGGATCATCTACCGCCCGGGCCTCGGCGTTCGCCTCTGTGAAATGGGTTCACAGCGGCGCCGGCCTCCGCGGGCGGTGAATAGGACGCCAGGCACCGGCCTCCGGCAGTGGGACCCGCCGGTAACTCTGGCTGTTATTTATAATGACATCTGCAATTGTTCCCGCAGGGAGAAGGTACTTGTACTTTCTCGTTTTTATTTAACGGCGAATCAAAGAGCTAGCAACGGGGCCGGGGAAACTGGGCCACCGGTGGTGACCTCACCCTCCGGGCGCTCCCGCCGCGCATGACTGTGTTTGTGGGCCCTGGCGCCTGCAGCCGCCGCCCCGGCCGGGAGCCCAGCCGGGCAGGAGGGCGGTTAGTTCACTGCGGGGTCCGGGACCCGGCTCGGGCGTGGCACCGGCAGGTGCTGGTGCAGACTTGCTGACGGGCCTCGGCGCCGCCCTGAGCCCCGCAGAGCGGGAGTGAGAGCGCCGGGGGGCCTTACCTCTGCTGCTGGTTGAATTTGCAGCGGCACTTTCTGCCTGTGGGAGGGAGGGGAGACAGGGCTGAGAGCCCATCTGGGCGGCACCCAGGGGCGCTCCGGCTCCAGTTGGCGCTGCCAGGGTGGAGCCGGGGGCGGGCCAAGGGCGGGAGTGCCGGGGGCGGGGTCGAGGATGGCATGGGGGCGGGGCCAAATGGGGCAGTGCCTGGGCGGGGCAGAATGGGGCGGGCAGAAGGTGGCGATAGGGCGCGGCTGAGGGCGGGGTGGGGCGGGCCCGGGCGGGGCCCGGGGGTAAAGCGGGAGAACCCGGCTGGAGGCAGTGGGGCACTCACTGAGGATGATGAGGATTCCCAGAATGAAGAGGACCCCGGCGATGACGAGGCCTCCGATCCTCAGAGATTGATAGTCTATGGGCAGCAGGGAGGAGGGTGAGGGCAGGGAGGGGAGGAAGAAGGATAGGAGAAGGGCAAAATGGGGAGGAGGGAGCAAGGAGGAAGGAGGAGGAGGAGAGGAGAAAGAAGATCAGTCAGAAAGGAGCAGGTATGGGAAGACAGAGGAGATGGATCAGGGAGAAGAGAGCGAAGGAAGAGGAGGTGGGCAGTGCAGAGAGGACGGTGAGAGGATGAGAGGGACAGGGAGAGGAGAAAGGGCAGGAAGCAGCAGGGGATGGGCCGCAGATTCTGAGAGGTAAAAGGAGAAAGAGAACCAGAGAACCAGAGAGGGATCAAATAGAGAGACAGAGGTAGAGAGAGAGAGAGAGAGAGAGAGAAAGAGAGAGAGAGAGAGAGAGAGAGAGAGAGGAGGGAGAGAGGAGGAGGGAGGGAGGGAGGGAGGGAGGGAGGGAGGGAGGGAGGAAGGGAGAGAGGAGAGAGAGAAGAGAAGAGAAGAGAAGAGAAGAGAAGAGAAGAGAAGAGAAGAGAAGAGAAGAGAAGAGAAGAGAGAGAAGAGAAGAGAAGAGAGAAGAGAAGAGAAGAGAAGAGAAGAGAGGAGAGAGGAGAGAGGAGAGAGAGAGATTGAGGACAAGACAGGCAAACCCAGCCCCCTACCCCAATTCCCAAAGACAGATGCTCCGCCCTCCCTCACCGTAGGTGAATGGGTCATGTTCCTGTGGACCTTCTGGAAAGAGAAAGAGAAATCAGGGGTTGGGTGCTTCCTGGCTCCTTGGACAAGGGGGGCATAAAAAGACCCTTTGGGGGCTCTGCCTTCCCGGGCTGAGAGCTGGGGGACAGTTGGGCCCTGAGCAAACTCCTTGCCCTCTCCGGGTCTTAGCTGCCTTCTCTGCACCGCCCCGGTGGGGTCTGCAGGGAGCCCCTGACTGCTCCAGCTCCCCATCTCATTACAGGTTGTCTCTGATTCCGTCACTCTGGGGAAGCCAGCCGCCATCCCACCCTTAGCCTGGCCTGGGCATCCTCCCTCCTCCCCCACTACTAGCCTGTTACTGGACTCCATGTGGGACTCCCACTTTCCCAGTGCCCCCACTGACTCAGGTTAGGGTGAGTCTCCGGCTTGGTTCTCTAGCAGGGTTTCCCAACTCCTGCCACCCTGGGTCTGAGGTGGGTAGTGGGCTGTCTCCCAGACTCACCTGCTCTAGCCATGGCAAGGAGACCCACACAGAGAACCAAGATGTGGTCGAGAGATGCCATTATCCTGGGGAACACCAAGAGTTAGGCAGTGTGCACCCTCGTTCCCCCACCACTGGGGCCTGAACCCAAGGGGTTAAGTCGGAGAAGGACTTAATTCCCAAAGCATTTGGCATGCACCCTGAGTAACAGGGCCACCCCCTGCTTCACAGGACACAGTGTCACCAAATCAACCCACAAAATGGGGTCACGTGGCCACAAGGACGGGGGTGAGGCACACACTACCCAAGGGGATCTCCTGCAGGCCAGGCCTTCCCGCTGCAGGCCGCAGATTCCCACCCTCTCCAGAGAGCGGGAGGCCTCACCCCACCCAGATGGACAGACAGACACACTGCAAGGGACGAACATGCCCAAGGGCCCACCTGCCCACCAGGGCCTTGCTGTGTCCGAAATATCCCAGCTCTGCTGCGCTGACCCTGACAGCCGCTCTCTGCCTGACCCTGGGTATAAATATCTCCCACTTCACGCTGGAGGAATTTGCCTCGTACAGGCCACCATGGCAACAGCCTTCCTTCCCCTCCTTGGGGTCAGGCACAATCCTGCTGGGGAAAAGCCACCCCGTCTCCTCTTCTGGGAACAATGAGAAAAATATTCCCTCCACCCGCCTCTGGGTGACATCTTTCACAAGCAGACAACACCAGCAAGTGACATGAGGGAAAAGACAGATGCCAGGGGCAGGGGCACACACACACACACACACACACACACAATGGGGCTGAAATGGATCCACACCCGTCCGGTACCCCTACACTTCTAGTTGGAGACACGGTCAGGCACAGATTACTGCTCATCTAGGCCTCCAGTGCACCCAAACAGTGACACAACCCACATAAATGTCCACGGCCCACCCCAGGCAGGGGCAACAGCAAGGAAGGGAGAAGTTGCACCCATACTCCCACCCCTGGGACAAGCGAACGTCCCAAACAAACATACTGCGTTTCTCTTAGGTCTGGCCTGCCTGGGAAGCCAGGGACTGGCCACTCCTGCTCCCAAAATAGGCTGCCCAGCTAGGCGAGGGGTGAGGCCGGGAGGGAGGGGTAGGGGACGCTCACCCCAATCAGGCTGTCCCCTGCTGGACGCAGGCCCCCAAGTCTGGCTGTGACCGGGCAAGCACTTTGGACCCCCTGGCCCAGAGCTGGATGCACCGCCCCCAGCGATCTCCCCTCCCAGCCCCACCCCAGCCAAGCCCTCCCCAACCAGCAGCTGTAACTGGAGCTGGTGCTGGAGGGGGGCCAGGGGGCGGCCCCCAGCCCAGACCGCCCTGGCCCGCTAGGTTAACTCTCTCCTCTCAGATGGAGGAACAGTAGACAGCCATGTTGCGGAAAGCTGGAGAAAGGAGATCCTGGCAGAGAGGGCTGGATTGCAGACACGCACACGCACATGCCTCAGGCTGATCTCAGACAGCTTCTGAGCTGGGCTGAGGGGTGTCAATAATTTTCTGTGCTGTTTCCTGGGAATTGGGCTGAGGTGGCGCCTACAGACACCTAGCCTGAGTGTTGAGGAGCCCACTGAGCCCTGGTTCCAGTATTTTTCGGAGCCCCGGTCGGCAAGCAGCACAGGACTGTTTGCGGGACATTTCAATGTGTGTATGTGTTGTTTGCTGTCGACTGTTTAGTCCCTCAGGAATGTGCCTGTGCGCACACACACAGAGAAACCCACAAACCCAGATAAACAGGCAAAAAAGCACATGCACACATGTTGTATGTACATACAGAGACAGACACACACGGAATAACACACTCATAGAGAAACCCAAAGACACACACACAGCCAGCACCTCTTACACCAGTCACAAAACACCAAGGCAAACACATTTGCTTACCCAAACAACACACACCTATCCATTCAGATGTACACCTGTACATAGGCACAATCAAATTCACGGCCACACACTATCCCCCTTACAAATGGTCACAAAGATACACACTCCTAAGAAGACATTCTGACACACCAATGCACACGTGCCACACAGAAATACACTCAAAGACAGGCACACAGCCAGCACACTTATACCCTCTCAGAGATGTGAGGTCCACAAAGTTGTATACACATGCACACAGACACACACGTCTACATTGGCACACAGAGAAGAAGAAACACTGTCTAGGACACAGCCAGACAAGCACCCACTCTTATACATAACACACACACACACACACACACACGCACGCACGCACAGCTGGCCACACTATCACAGACACAATAGGCCTACGTGCTTTTGTTTACACATTGACATCGTCAAATATGAGTTGAGGTATTTAACCCTGAACTTCCCCTTCCCCGAGTTCATGTGTCCTCTAGGATATCCTGGAGGACACTACAGCTGGCATCCTCATGGGCAGGCCAAATTCACAAGGTACTGGTGACAAATCTGGGGCCAGGTGTAGACTCTGCCATTCCTGGTTGTGTGAACTTGAGCAGTCCATACCACCGCCCTGTTCCTCAGCTTCCCATCCTATAAAACGGAGAAATAACTGAGGTCATACTGCAACCCCAACCAAGCTCAGAGGTCTCTGGCCCGCCATTGTCTTCTTAACCCCATTTTAGAGATGAGCAAACCTAGGCTGAGCAAAGCGGAGCTAATTCTCTGGGGTCCCCCTGGTGGTTAAGGACAGAAACTGCCTCCCTTTCAGTCAAAGGTCAGAAGCAGGCCCAGACTCAGGCTCTGCAGGACACATTCAGGGGAAAGTGTGCATGCTCACACTCAGCACAGGTATAGCCCTGACACACACATATATGTGTGCACACAGCCTCAGAGGACCTGCAGAGCTTCAAAAGGCTCCTTCGTCCCCATCTTTCTGGGCCTTTAGCCTCTGTTCCTCCTGGGCCTGCACCCCCGGGTCACCAGCAGCTCCTGGTTAATGATAACCCTGATGTTTATGCAGCACTGGGGAGGGGTGACAGGGAGCAAGGGGTGAGCCAGAAGAGGGGCACCTGGCCAGCTCTAGCCAGTCCTTTGCTTCCTCCCCTCATAGGGCCAACTGCTCCAGATTAGAGTTGGTCAGCCACTTTTTAGCTGTGTGTTGTTGGACACATGACTTAACCTCTCTGTGGCTCAGTTTCTCCTTCTGTAAAATAGAGATAACAATAGCACTCACCTTATAGGGAGGTTGGAATGATTATCAGAAATGGTCCGTGTAAAACATTTAGGACAAAGCCTGGCACACAGCAAGTGACCATCATCATCGTCCTTGCGGGGCTGGGCATGGGGTGCATGCCCCTCTGTTCCCTGGCTCTAAGTCCTTTATCTTTTTACAGGCCTGTAAGGAGCTTTAATATCCCTCCTTTAGAGCTGAGGTAACCAAGACCCAAGGGCCTTGCTCAAATCACACAGCTGTTTGGGTGCAGGTATGTACTTCGGTCCAAGGCCCACCCCAAGCCCACCAACCACTGGGCAATGCCACCCTGCACAGTGGCATCGCCTCTATTGTCTCACTCAGTGTTCTTTTTCATTTTTAATATATTTTTATTGATTTCAGAGAGGAAGGAAGAGGGAGAGAGACAGAAATACCAATGATGAGTTTGATCCTCTGCCTCCTGCACACGTCCTACTAGGGACGGAGCCCACAACCCAGGCATGTGCCCTTGACCAGAATTGAACCCGCGACCCTTCAGTCCAAAGGCCAACGCTCTGTGGACTGAAGGGTCCACTGAGCCAAACCGGCTAGGGCAGTGGTTGGCAAGCTCATTAGTCAACAGAGCCAAACATCAACAGTACAACAATTGAAATTTCCCTTGAGAGCCAAATTTTTAAAACTTAAACTTCTTCTAATGCCACTTCTTCAAAATAGACTCGCCCAGGCTGTGATATTTTTGTGGAAGAGCCACATTCAAGGGTCCAAAGAGCCACATTTGGCTTGAGAGCCGCAGTTCACTGACCACGGGGCTAGGGCATCTCACTCAATGTTCTACACACCTGGGAAGTGGGTGCATGATTGTCCCATTTGAGAAGTGGGAAAACTGAGGATCGGGGAGGCTGAGTGATTTATTTGCCTAAATCCACACAGAACTGGGCCTGAAACCCAGATATATGCGATCCTGCCTGAGCGTTTAGCCGCTGTTCCCAGAGTTTTCCAGATGTGTGCAGCAGGAGGAGAGTTTTCTGGATGTGTGCAGCAGGCTGTGTGTTTACTCAGTGGCAGGGAATGGCTAGGATTAGATCTGTCCTTTGCCATGAAACATCATTTAAACTCCTTGTGCCTCAGTTTCCCTATCTGTAAAACAGGAATTAGTAATATTACCCAGTT